CCGGTCGATCTCTTCCTCCAACTTTCCATCACTAGTAAATATAGTTCGGAGGTACTTGAACTTCTCCACCCAAGTCAAACTTTGAACTACGAATTCCCAGCTGCATCGACTGAACTAACTCGACCCAAATCCAGAGGTATGTGACCAAAAACCGAATGAGTACCATGAATCAAGAGACACTTCCGATACCTCACTGATGAGCGAACTATTATCGGCGAAGATGTGCACAATATAATGCGTCAGAAAAACGTAAAATGTGTAATCGATTATCAACTGCCTCGTAACGATGCGCTGTTTGTGTCTACGCATTGAGCACGTTCAGCAAGGGCAAAAAAATTCAGACATGGACGGCCACGATCCCAACTACGTTGTAAAAGTACTCAACCGAAAGGAGTATGCGGACACGTGATATTCTTGTCGAGCGGAATAAACAGCCTCTGCAGTGCTACGTGCGGAGGTCAGATGACATAATGCATTATCCATCTCTTTATGCAAATGACGACAGATGACTTCCGGGTGTGGGATTACAGTATAATTGCACGGTCAAGATTTGTCTTAAAGATGTGAGGATACAATCAGAAGTTGCCATTCATAATTCCTATGCAATGACTACTAAATGAGTGTGGGAGCGAACAAATATGACTTTCACGTTTTACTATGCACTAAGGTAGATTCAACTTGAATCTGTCGCCAAGCGCAGCTGGCGTTCACCATCGTCGAGTTCTGCATTTGAACATCTTACTGAATCGTTTAGTTCACGTTCTGACGATAGACGAAAAAGCAGTACATAAAAATTCACCAGCTGCTAGCAAACCACAGGCTTAAGCATTTCACCGGAGAGATCTCAAGGATTCAAGGAACCTCGTAGAAACAAAGAAAATCTACAGCTTTTCAGTTCATAAAACAGCAAAAGAAAACAGTGTAAGGAACAGAGGTCTACCGTGCTGAAGGGGCCATCGGATATTGTCAATATCAGTACCACACAACAAGGAAAGCAGCTACTTAATGGACAATTCCAGACATATGCCCATGATGATGTTGTGTTGAGGAGAAAAGCATACCCAATAAATCAACACACTATTAGCAAAGAACAACATAATAAATCGCAAAATTTCGGGTTACAGTAAAGCTGTCCGAATCTGTAAAAGAAAATCGGCGAGCGATGTAGCTACAAATACGCAAAAATAATCAATCGCGTTGTTGCAGTCAAGCTTATCTAGAAAGATACTCAGAGTCAAAATTCAGACAGTAGGACCGAATGCAATAATCCTGAGAAATAGAAGGTGAATGGTACGAATTAACTGAAACAGACGGGATGACTAGGAGGCTTCTTCGCGTTTGCAGGTAATAAACTAATTGTTTTAAATCATTGACGCAGGTACTGACTCAGTCTGCAAATGGGTTAAAACGTGCACTCCGATTTCATGGTGGCGCGAGACAAACCAAATTCTATCGAGTAAGAACTGGTGCATTTGGCCTCGTGCCTCAGCGATGGCATAAAACTCAAGCGATCCGGCATAACACCACATCAATTCCTGTTCGAAGCAACCGCTGAATCGTTTCTCCAAAAACCGTATCATAGATTTCGGATAGGTAAGGGTGGATATTTAGGTCGTTAGAGCAAAACGAGAAGACGTCCCTGATTGACTGTTTGACATTACGGTTGATTCTACCCGGTCACGGAAAAATTATGTCCAGCTACTTGCGAACTGCTCGTCGGAAGTGATCCAAGGCGTGAAATCAAGCACGAACGGCAATGGAGGATGAAAAGCTTGATGGAGCCTCTAACTGACGAAGCCATCTTTAGTAACTGTCGACTCCAATCCACTGCTTATGTTTCATCCAGAATGTACTGATGCTTCAATAAACAGAATTCTACATCCGGCCATATTGATTTTACAGTGAATGCACAGCAGGAGTAACAAACAACCGATAAATTAGCGCTTGGCTTCCCATATCTCCTCAACAAGGCCTACTTCTTTTACGTGGCTGTCTAATGGAGGATTAACGTTATTTAAAGAACCGCTGTACGGCTCAGGAAAGGCTCAAAGGGGCGTGATCTTTCTGCGGTCCGACAGCGAGTAGCAACTGCCAATCACATCGCGCGTAAAGTTTACAAAAACTAGCGGAAAACAATGGAGTATACAAAAATGGAAAGAGCTGACAAAGCAACCGCTAGTCGTACGTTACCAGGTCAAACTTACGTTTCAATGGACGGTAGCAGGTGGGTATCCAGTAGCACAGAGGCATGTACGGGGGAAAGTACTTGGCAGCCGCTTTCGGCAACACAGGCACGTATGAACAGATCAACGGAGGCAGGTAAACGACTTTATTACCGCCACTGCCACCATCGCTACATGACAGAAAGGCACACATGAGGTGATGGTTGGTCAGACGAGAATGAGACTTAACAGCCGAGCAGGAGGCAATGAAATGATGTACAGAGTCGTCCTCAAACATCAACAAGAACAGTGGTAGCTACTTTGTAATTTTCGTCGCAGAACAAACAACAGCAACATTCCACACCGACGAAAACTCTCTCTTATAAGGTATCCTTGGCAGTGCAGTGTCCGCCGACGGAACTGTCCATTTCGTCTACTTCATCGTCGTCATCCTAGTCCAACCATCACAAAAACTCACAGCATTACAATGACATATGAGTCAGCCGGATAAAAAGTAAACAAGCGACGGATGATGGCGCCCCAGTATATCCAAGCATCCGCAGGTGCAAACGCGTGTGCATTACTTCGGCACGTTCGAAACGCAGCTGCGTAACAATTATCACGGAAGACGAAGACGATGTAGATCTGACGTGCTCATCATTTGATGAATAACCCTCGATTCTTTTTTCTATTCCGTCTTTCACCTTCCTCCTTTTTCTTTATAGTCATAGTAAAACAGGCGAGGTGCATTAAGGAAGTAAACACGACAGCTATGACTCAGAAAATATCAGCTATGATTCCTTACCATCGCCATTTTCGAACAACGCTTTAGCCGAGCAAACTGAACACCAGTACTGTACTGGACAAATTCCTAAGTTTGACTGCATGCGCATGTTTATTCGAACCATCGAACTGTCAAACTTCCAAACGAGGTCTGTCGAGGTTAAAACAACTGAACAACACTGAATCAAAGGTCGTACGTTAAGTGGTATAAGTCGCGCACAGTGAACTCCACACATCTTAAACAACCACACTTACTCGCGACTGAAGAGAAAAAATGCAGAGCGAAAAATTCGACACTGCGACGAGACCACAATATCAAGAATACTGATATACGGAGAGTGCCTGGCTTAGCTTGAGAAAACGGCCTCAAAGACAGAATCGAAATTCTTTCAAAATACTTCACACTTGGGAAAGATGTGCTTACTGGCGTAGAAGTACAATACAAAACCGAGTACACGTCGTTGATGCATACAAGTTTATGAAGAGGAATATGACCCTCAATGGAGCAACAATCAATATTGAATAATACTAATCTGAAGTAGGATTTGTAATGGTCTCGCACCATTAATCTGGGTTAGACAGCTGTTTAATCGTGATGGCGATTGCAGAACAACAACTGTAACCGTCTGGGTAAGGGGAGAGGATGCGAAACAATCGAATAGCAAAATGAACTCCATTCGCAGATTGACACTCAGTTAATTCGATAAAACTGAACACTGGCACCCTTTTATGCCTTTGAATCAGCTACATTCAATTAAAGGAATACGGCATCAGTGGAAAATTTGTAGAAGATACTCTCCGCAAAACACGAAACCAGCTGAGTGAACGTTTACTACCTACTACGGTGCTCTGCCCATTTCACATATATCAAGGAAGACACTGTTGAGCAGTATAAACATTTAGTAAAACAATCGACTGTGGGAGTAGCAGACGGATTAAGAATGTCAAACTCGATATATGGCCAACCTCATCGCGGCTGCAACCGTACTGAGACTGTTGTTGCTTTCTGTTATCATCAAAAACTACATTAGCAACCGACATTTATGGTCTGACCTTTAGACTGGCATTTCTTAAAATTAATAAAGGGCTGTGAATCGACAGATTCAGGGTTCGAGCTCCAATCGGGTCACTCGCCCTTCTTCCTTCTGTCATTCTGTGCAAATAAAACACGAGACTATGCTTGTCATGCAAATGCTGTCGACTCTGAAATGCACCCTAAGGTACTTCGGGCTAATGGCACGGAAACAGAGATCATCGCCTCACACGAAACGAAGGACGCAAAAAAATAATACCATTATTTCAGTGTAAGGAAATTCGACACTCCAACGGTTATAGACGTTTCTTTCTTTTCGATTCATCTTAGCGAACGACGCAGAATTGAAAGAAACAGTCAGTGAGAAAATTTTACGGCATCGCGTTTGTTCAGTTTTAACGGAACGAGGCATGCCTCAAGTAGGACATGTATGTATTAATGCAAAAACTGAAACATTAGAAGAATCCATGATCACCAGACAGCTCGGGTAATGCAGAATGCCCTAAGCATAGGCAGGAAAGGCTCCAACTGCTTAAATCAATCCCATTTTGCAAACCCAAATATTTAGGTATCGCTCACGTATTTAGATTCATTAGCATATTTACATTTAATCCAAGAACCCATTTTCTCCGTCTTCATTGGTAGGGAGAGGGGAGTGGCGCAGCTGGTTGCTCTGCATGTTAGAGTGCAGGTTCAAATGCAGCGCACGAGTGAATTTGCTAATTACCTTGAGCAAAGAATTCACTTCACTGTGCTTCGGTGCAACCAGCCAAAAAGGGACAGCATGGAGCTTCGGTATGGTCACGCCAAATGTTGGGAGACATACAGTCATGGTGTCTAACATTTGTGCCTTCCTACCCGGCTGCAATTCGCCTTGACCCATCTAATAGCTGACTAAAAACAGTACACGGTGTAAACATAAAATTAAAATATATCTTCTTTCTTTTGCCAGTGTCATACCACTGGGTTATGGAACTGCTAAAATTTTACTCGGTGCCAGTTTCTCGTGCAAACACTCACTAATGTAAGCAGTTGATTTAGACTGAGAAACTTCTTCAGTAGCTCTGCTTCCGCCGTGATACACGGGTTTCGCATATCCGTCATGGGTTTTCACCATATCACTCACCCGTTTTTGTTGTAGTTGAAAACACCTCTTCAGTCAGCCAGTGAAGGCGTTCGTCATTTCTGTCGAAGTCAGAGTTCAAATTAAGTATCTCACTAGATATACAGAACGTTGCATCCGTTCCTGCATTACACCTTCCTCGTTGTGCTGTACAAGGTTATTTCGCAGAAAATGACCCACCTTACAATGAACTGTGGAAGGGAAATACATCGCCGTTTCTGGTATTCTTCGATTCGAACCAGTCAAATCTGTCCTTTGACTTGTACGATGTTGATCTGCTTATCGTACGAGTAACCATTACGACTACTATCTGCTCCAGAATGTTGAAGCTACGAGAGATCTTCCTCACTATTGGAATCAAATCAAATAAGGCACGGAAATCAATTATGGAAGCGCATCAGTGTTGTTGGAATCTTCAGGACTGCTCAATTATTCGGTATAGACAGAAAATGCCCGGTACCTCAGTGCTTTGTTTGGTTATAACCGTGCCTGACTAGTTCAGCGAGTTTTTACAAGTGAAAACAAGTCATATATATACCCACAGAGAGCGAAATGTATAACAACAGTCAGTAATAGTTAGTCTGAATGAGGGGCGCGTGAGAGTAGAACGGCTGTGAAAGAAGCAATTGTGGTATGCTCTAGTCGATGAGACCGCTGAACAGATAACAGACGGCGTATGCAAAATATGTAACTTATAAGTAAATACAAATTCTCACTCATTAACTAACGCGCCTGTACCGTAAGAATGCCCAGTGTTTTTACACATCATGCCGACGTCAGTTGTTCATTGTGCAACAAAGCGACCATTAGCCGTTAGACGGGATGAACTACAAACTGCAATACAAAAACGCGGAACCAGCACTGGTAGTTCAACCACAAAAACATGTGTTCCTTCTTGGCTGACGTAGGGGCCGCCAAAGAAGCGATAAAATTTAAAAAAAATAAAACACCAGTGAACAGGTAAACAGATAAATATATTAGCAGAAAAACGGCCCAGTCATATGACAATTATTCGGAACGCTGATCAGCATTTAAATGACTGCAAAACGTTACTAACGGATTATGCTATACCGAAACTGATTAAGTGATTTGAATGTCACGCACCATAACATGCTTATTACGCCATGTAACAAGAACTCCTACTGGTAAAAACTACACAACGTCTTTATTATTATTGTTTTCATAGCCATCTGAGGCATCAGGAACAAAGACCGAGTACAGAATCACAATGTCTCCAGTAAAGTGCAAGATTAATGCGAATCTATTTTTCAACTTTATTTATAACGCGTTGTTGCCTTCCACGTTAACATGGGATGATGAACAGGTAAAATATGATCAATGATGAGTCTTTGCATTCAAGTGCATAAATCATAGATGCTCATTTAGAAACTGAAAACTGCATGCTGTAATAATTAGTTCTCATTTCAGTTATTTCGGAGTATGACATAGATAAGCATATCCGTTAACAGATTTTTCACGACAGGAATCTTTAAGCATACACAATCATCACATGCACAAAAATGTATAATTCCTTCCAAAATGGAGCAGAATACAGAAGGGACAACTGTAAGCAAACGAGTGAAGTCTATTTGAGGAAACCAAAGTGGAAGAGAGAAGGGGAACATAAATATAGGGAAGAAGTGGGGATAAAGAACAGGAAAACATGAAGGATGACAAAAATGAGCTCAAAGTGAATAAAAGCATATTTTGAACAAACGAAGCTATGAAACGTGTACGCCAATACATATTGACTAGAAAGGCCGTAAAACGCTTAGATAGAAATTGCAGCAGTAAAATTCTGCCCTTACGACAAGACCTTGTAACGATGGAACAACGACTGTTCATGGCCATTTATTCCCTAAATAAAACGGAATTAAATAATTGGTCAAGCTACAGACTTTGTTGAAGGCCGATGTCCTCCTCGAGATGAGTGATGACAAAGAGGATGGAAAACAGGATTTTGCCACCTGCCATATCTTAATATGACTTTGTTCTAGAGTGAACCCATAAGTAGATAATGACACCTGGTCGCAGGAACCTTGCGAAACGGGTGCTCTCCAGTGACAAAAAGAAGATGACTTTATAATGGTTCATTCGCTTTAACGAACGGCAGTCTGCTTGACGAAGGACGTTATCCTCGCCTATGACTACCTTAGTATCTCCGTGAAGAAAGTAGCGGAAAATCTCTATCAGATTATCGGCACTCAGAGTTTGGACACAGTTACTGCAGTGCGCCTCCCCAGATACTACTACGCTTCCAATTTATCGTCTGCAGCAGTTTATCCAACTAATCGATCCTAAAAGATAAACAAATTGACCCTGATGAAAATTTAGGGTACGTATGAGAGATCGAGGGGAGCGCAAATCATAAAGCAAATTTAAATAATTACGCACTCGTATCACTAACCAGCGAGTCGGAAAGCATAGTGATGTTAAATCACCTACGGTACCAAAAGAATAACAGTGGTAGCAACATTTATTTTGTATTTACTACCATTCATTTTACTGTTCTACTATTATTTTATTATTCATAAGTCAATCCTAGTTACGAGTCCCATCATACATCGCAGGACTATTTCCTGAAGTCTTATTAGTCCCACTCTATATTTCAATATACGAAACGAAAAATTCCTACTGAGGATGTCGCCCTTTAAGCGCCACGTTACTTAATTGTATTGACCAAAATACCAATGTGTCCAGCTATACGCTATCTGGCGCGTTCCTGGGTTGCGGTTAAGGAAATGACCCCAAAATATGGACATATGCTGTGGCAAAAAGTAGTTGCGTACAGGCAGCGGGTGTGGCTGAGTTCAAGCTCGACAATATCGATTTTCTAACAAAAAATCAGTACTCAAAGACAGTTTCTGTTGAAGCGAAAACGGCCCGCTCCTTTGAAGAAAAAATTCTGCCAATGTCACCACTATCATACGATTAAACGTCGGTTGGCCAAAGGCTAGAAGCGAAAACTTCGATAAAAAACAGGAAGGAATTGAGCGACCGTCTGTTCGTTTGTTTTGCGTCGAACACAAAATATCATGACCGGTGCGATTCGCTGCTGAATACCAGCAGGTTCAGGTGATGTCATTGATTCACCGCAAATACCAGTACTTATGCCGAAATACAGTTTATTATCACAGTCCTTTATCGGGATCATAGTCCATGCTTCAGGAAGGACAGACCGGTAAATGTCAAATTCTGTTTGTTGAAATCACGAAAGGCTGAGAACGCATACGCTCAAATACGCCTACTGAAAGCTAGTAGCGACTTAAAGCAAAGATCAACGTATAGCCAAGCTGATTTAGAGTCTGGAGACGAATTTATTGTAAAAACGTACTATAAT